GGCCAACACCCCGCCTCACACTCGGAGGCATACACCCCTCGGGCCACTCGTGAGCTAGCCGCCTCGCATTGTATCATAGAGAGGGCCTCACCTGTCACTCCCCTTCCTATTTTCTGGTTACTGTCACCGAGAGGCCAACATCCTGCCACAACGTTCGGTGGCCACACAAAATCCCCTCGCGCCAAGCATAGATAGAGCCTCTCAAGCCACTTGGCAACTAGCAGGGCCTCACCAGTCACCAAAAAACACCAAGCCTAATCATTTCGCCTTACGGCTTAGCTAGCAAGCCAGTACAAGACCCCTGGGTACAAATAATAATTGCAATCTTTATTGTTATTTAAGTATTTCTCAAAAAGATGGTGAAGAATCACCTCTTCCTAGCACCCCGGCTAGAATTGATACACCTTCAAGCAGAGGAGATGTTGCTAGTCCAGCAGCAATCAGATCCTGGACGATCCCACACATTACCACCGACCTAAGGAGGTGACAAATCCCCTACCCTGCTACAGCAAGGAAAGCAGTTATTCAAACTCCTCCATACATCAACGGACAACACGGAGGCAGGGGAAGGCCCAGCTACATCAACTCAGGTAACACCCAGGCTATGCTAGCTTCACTCATAAACTCATGAGCCAAAAATTTATGACAGACTGGCAATCTCAAGTTGGTTACCACAGCCCTCACAAGGCTGGGCCTCACGCTACTGTACAACCAGCACCAACCGAAACTCGGTTACCTGGTACAATCAATTCTTATGACACACAAGATGTTAAACCTGCACGTATGATCACAGCACATTGGGGAAGCAAGGCATATATATGTATGATGATGTATCTGTGATGGTCAGATCCAGGGATTCCAGGTAAATCGGGAACTGACCATCCCTTGGTTGGGTTGGCATTTGGAATATGTGGAGATGTGTATTTGTGCAGGTACCCATACAGAAGGGATTTTGTCCCAAACAAATGGACGAGCACTCTCAGGCTCCAGGTACCAGCACCTCTGAACTACCAGAGACCACTGATATGAGTAGTTGCATTGCATACAGACTGTTGCATATATGTTCAAATAGTTCAGGGCACATGACAAACCATGTGTCCCAATACAACTTACAAATAACGTATTCACCATCTGTACACACCAATGCATTTTCAACACTACTGACTCATCACCCTTGCAGACTTGTAGTAGATTTACTAAAGCTCTGGAGCTTCAAAGAGCTCCCATACAGGTATCATAAACACACCTTCAAGGAATATAGCATGCCCTCACTTACAGTCAGCACAACAAAAACATTGGCTGTAAACACACTCATAGCCAAGATTTGCAGAGGGGTCTTCCAATCTCCACCATTTACAGCATGGCACCAAACACACACATTGGTATTGTCACAAGGAATCTTCCCTTAAACAAAGACTAACCATAGACTTATTGGCACCACACACCTCCGCTACCCCAAGTCTCAACTCCCTCATACCCTCCAAGGATTTTTCTTACTATACAACACCATTGATCTACCTTTACAGCTATCACTCAAGCATGGGTTGAAGCTTGGTTAAGTAAGACCAATATCATCAACGCAGTAAACGGCTACCATCTACCCTACACACTGGCACTTACATGGCATAAATTGGGCAATCCTTTCCCCGCTCAACTTTCGAGCTACAGATTAGCCTACTATCGATATTCGCAGATACTCTGTGCTGGTTATGATAACATATCCAGAGGCCTTACAGTCATACACTATCTAGAAGGCTTCTTGTTAATCAAAGAAAGCATATTTTTCACTAGAAGCCTCACGGCAGCTTTGTCTGGTTGACCACTTGGGTGTCCCAGTACCCCATAAGAAACAGAAGGCCCAGACACTATCTTCACATTACTGGGCATATGACTTGAGTCGGCATCCATACACGCAAGTTACCACAAGACAAATAGGGAACATTCTCAACTACATCAATCAATACCTCCTGCTTAGTACTTACAACTGCAAGGAACTACGATCCCTACCAGGTTCCTTAATTTTGCCATGCCAATTATATCACAAGACCACGCTTTCACATCCAGAGTACTTTCCCCTTTTTTCCACACTTCCAACATGACGATCAGAGGATGTCCCTAGACACCTCAGCAACAGCAGACCTGCACATGGGGGGGAATTTTTTAACCACTTGGCATGGTAAAATCATGTTCCTTCCAGGATTGTCTGACACTTCTCCAACCAGATGGTCAGACGCAGCGTCTACCACGCGTTTGGCAGCGATCTACCGGGAACAATTGCTTTGGAGCTGTTGGCGATGGCATCCAGGTTTGGAAATTTTTTCACCACCTCAGCCCCTTTGGGAGATCTACCCCATTGTAGCAGCTGCTGAGGCATGGGGTAAATCATGGTCAGGGTCATCAATCCGTTGTTACTCAGGCAACTAAGCATATGTCATATCATCAACAAATGCCACTCATCATCCATAAGGTCATGATATTTCTGGGGAACTCACTTGGTTGGCCACTTATCACATTTCACTTTCATGTACCAGACGGGGTATACATCCCTGCTGACAACTGTCTCATTTATATTCCAGGCATGTTCATCATACGCTTCCTACAGCCGCCCATACAGTCACGGCCACTCTTTCGTTCCAGAGGCAAAATGATGGATTAGACATACTCATGCAGCATAGCATGCACTATCCCACCTAGCACTTTCGTCCCATACTTGTAGAACACATAACACAGCTTTTCACCTGGCTTAAAGAATCTCATTGGCACACGACATAGCTCAACCTGTGTCATAACATTTCTCCTAGGTTTTGCTTCTTTTTGCCACCTTAAACTTAAACTATCTCACACACCATTAATTATATATTTTACAGGCATTCAACAACACAGGATAACCTATGGCCAAAACTACCATAACTTCATGCTATCATACCAGACAAGAATATACTCAGAGGTTTTCAGGAATCCATTCCCCCACGTTCCTCTCAGAGATTACCAATAGCCATCCAACTTTTCATCATTATCGGACCTATTAGATCTACAACCATTCAATTATACTACCAAGTCGGCCATTACCAGCTATGCACATTGCCTTTTATGCCTTTCTCAGGCCAGAGAATCCACTACCATCACCACCACTCAGACAGATCATTGTCTTCAACGATCCCACATACGTAAACACATATATCATTACCTATTGGCTCTACCACATTCCGAAACGAGTCAACACGCACCAACAGTAGAGATAACATACTATCCTACCCACAACAAATGGTGTCCACTTTCGGTCCTAGATTCCTACCTTCAAAATCCTTTCAGGAATTAAATATTGTAATGCTTTTAAGGAAATGTCTGGTTAATTTGTATATATTTGTTGACTGTATTAAATCTTTGATTATTCATTTTTGCCCTCTTTATTTACAGGCCTACCGTATCGTCGGTCTCGGCACACCACAACCGACTTGCTCCCTTTATACTATCCTACGCTTATGCTGGATCCTTACTCCATATACGGCTATTTGCCCCTTACACAAGTATTATGGCCGTTAGGCCTGTATTTGTGGGAGGGGCTTAAATTAATTCACTCCACTATATAAGGGACACCCCTTACCTGACTCATATCACTTGAGGTCAGCATCAGAATGACCCTCCCACCCACTCCTCATTTCAACACTTTCTCTTTTCTTTCCATTTACTTTACTTTCTTACTCCTTGGTGGGCCCTCTTTATTTACAGGCCTACCGTATCGTCGGTATCAGCACACCACAACCGACTTGCTCCCTTTACACTATCCTAAGCTTATGCTGGATCCTTACTCCATATACGGCTATTTGCCCCTTACACAAATATATATATATATATATATATATATATATATATATATATATATATATATATATATATATATATATATATATATAAAATATATATATTTAAACTTTTTCCACCAGCAGGGGGACTGCCTGTTCCGGCAGTCCCCCTGCTGGCAGCACTGTGTTCACCTATTTGCGGCCATGTGACTGCTCTTTTAGAGCGACCACATGGCCCCTGGGGGTCCTAAATTAGAGAGCTCAGACAGTCCCTCCTAAGAAGAAGACGGTTTGCCGACAGGGGAACGGCAGCGATCGGTAAGTACATGGGGAGAGAGGATAGGGGTTAAGTAAAAAAAATTTTTTTTTTTACATTTTTTATATTTACTGAGTGAGCGTTGAGGCATCGCTGCAATACCATTAGAGCTGCTGGAAACGATCACAATCGCTTCCAGTGCTCTAATTCCGAGCGGATGTATCAGGTACGTCCGCGGCCCTAGTGGGCTGAAAGCAACTGAGCAGGGCTGGCTCTCCATGGGCCGGCAGGGGAGATCAAAGGATCTCCCCTGTCGGCCTGGGAACATGGGCAAATGTGGCCTATTCTTGTGGGGCCCCTCGGCAAGTGCCCATGCAGAAAGACGGCCCTGATTGAGGGCCCTGCTCAATGAGCTTACATGCTAGAGGGAGTGGAGTATAGTGACACAAAAGGTAAGGGTAGAAGAGAATAATTTCAATTGTATAAGTAGAATTCTTTCTTTAAAATATAGTATACCTCTTGGACACCCTTGCTTGAAAAATATTGCATTTTAAGGGTACATTGCTTCGAAGGTTTTATACATCTGTTCAAAAATGTGGAGACCCTACAAAAAAAAAAGGAGTGGAATTTGTATCCATAATACAGACTGATCTCGGTAAACAGGGACACTTGGGTGGTATGGAATTACAAAGCTTGTATAAACAGAAGGTGATTGTAGTGTATAATGTGAACTCGAATGAACCCAAATAAAATACAGAGGGTCACACACACACTGTGTAAGAGAATGTGATGGCTTAGTGTTCTCTTACTACAGCATGGTGACACAGCAAAAGAGGGAGAGCATGTGCAATGTATCCATAGCAACATAACCAATACAGTATGTGGCCAGAACACGTGCCTGTGCAAACACAGCGGCGCGGGCGTGACGTCATCTCCCGGGGACAGACTGCATGACAGAGCAAGAGATCAGTCTGGAAGGATCTGGGCCCCGGTAGGAGGGACACCGGGAAGTGACTCGGCACCTGGGGCCCATGACTCAGCATGGGGGCCAACTATATAACAGGAGCCAGGGCCAGAAGCTGGGAGCCAGCAGGAGACACACACCTGGGGGAGGTAAGTACATGGCAGCAGCCAGCAACTACTAGTGGGTTTATATTATTATTATTATTATTATTATTATTAACATTAGAAAATGTTTAAACATAAACCAAAACACTGCATGTTAGGAAATTCAGGTATTCAGTAAAATTAAATTCAAACAACAGTGACATAATGAATGTATTTGTATTTTTTAAAGATTTGTAGGAGTTTTCTAACTACTTGTGGTCTGGTGTTTAAATAGGATGAGAAACTTGTTGATAAAATATATATAATATTATTATTATTATTATTTGGGGAGGGAGATATAATTATGACAAGGTCTTGTAAACACATAAAGCTGTAGTCCTAGGTGCAATAGTAAATGTGTTGGTTTTTGTGTTCGGAATGTGAATGGGAGGTTAAAATAAATCCCAGTCCAATATTCCAACTATTAGGGGGGGAACAAGTCCCTACATGTAAAATAAATTAACTTTTATTAGTATCTAGATTACAAGGAACTTGATAGGGTCTGTAAACAATTTTTTTTTTTTTTTATTTTTTTTTTGTGAATGGAAGGGGTTTCCTGAATAATTGGGCAGGTCTAATGTCCAATATCAGTTTTGATCATTTTCTAAATATTGTCATTTTCCAGGTAACTAATCGCTCAGTAGTAACAGATTGGGTTTGGAACCATGGAATTACCTGATTTAGGAAAGCATTGCTCGGAATCTACATGTAAACGACTGGGTATGTAAAATATTTTTTTTTTTTTTTTGTAGCAGAATCCAGTAGTTTTTATCATTTAAAACTCATTGTTTTGTACAGTGTCTAAAGGTTATTGTTTTTACTAAGCAGTGAAATGTCATTAGTTGACAGATGACTTTCAGTCATAGACCTGTTGGGACAAAACTTTGCGAAAAATTTTTTTGGCTAATTTAGAAAAACAGTATTACCACCAGAGAGATTTTTTCACTTGTATCAGAAGGTATTCAGTGAAAGTTAATGTCATGTCCTGATCCATGTTTTTTGAAATGCTGTAGATTAATATATAATTTACATTTTTATTAGACTTTACAGATCGTCAAGATACAAACATTAGGAGACTGTTTTCAAATGCAAATTTCCTAAAAGAGAAAAATCAAAGTGGTCCCCTGTTTTGTGTGTGTGTGGTTGTTGTTTTTTAGAGAGCTAAAGAAAGTATTTTCAGACTATAAGTAGAGAAGGCTACCTGCATAAGAAACCCAGACAGAGTAGATGAGGTCAAAAAGCAAGATAACTAAGGGGAGATTAGTAAGAGGGGAAAAAAAATACATAAACTTCTTGTCTGGGTATGGCCCCAGTATGTACTCCCACCTGCTGTAGTATAATTTGGATAACAAGCCTTTCAGATATCATAGACTTCAATATCTAATAATGTAAAAATTGAAAGGTGCTCAGATTTACTGTACTACAGCCTCTGCACAGTTTTTGATGATGTATAAAACTTAAAAAAAGCTACACACGGTACTATTTAACTGTGTGCTAGACCATTAAGACGTTAATTCAATAAGGACCCAATTGGGTCCACATCAGCAAAATTCAGTTGAATGAACATTCCAAACCTCTTCCTGATTTAAATTTGTGTCCTAACACAAAGCGGAAGGCAATGCTTTGAATAGAGAAGCATTGTATTCAAGACTTTTTTTTTTTTCTAAGAAGCATTACCTGGACATTACAGCAGATGTTAATAAAACTTGCAATCAATGTCAGAGCTTTAATGTCCAAATGCCCCCAGAATGGTACCAAATTAAATTTCATAATCCAGACCAGGGGCATTTGGACTTGAGTGAATGAGCCTCTTAGTATCAATAACATCCTGTATAGCATTCCAAAAATACTAGACTCTTGAAATCCAGTGTGCCCCAGTTTAACTCCATATTTGCATTATCTACTGTTTTCAGATTTTCTTCCCTTGGAATGTGATGCTTGTGGAGATGTCTTCTGCAAGGATCACCTAACCTATGACCAGCATAAATGTTCCTCTGCTTACAAGAAGGTATGTTCTCTATGTACCATGTTCACTTTTCTTTCTATTACAGATTAAATAAATACTTTCTACTTTGTGGTATGCTGACCACAAGCATTGAAAAGGCAGTCATTGAAATGGTTTACATTATGACATTAATAAAAACTTAGTGTTCTTGTCAGTTTTGAAATTGGAGGACACCAGAAGTGTAGATGCAAAATAGTATACATTTGTTGCAGTTAACAATGTTATGAGATTATCATTGAATACTGTATCTATATAACATAACATTTGAATTTCATTTGGACTAATGCCAACTTTATATTTAGCCAAAGTGTCTATTTTTGTTTTTCAATGGGGTGAATTTAAAAGCACTTATAAATGAATACATATTCAAGTAATGATCATCCCCTCCAAATGTTTCATGTTTGTAGAAAATCATCAGGTTCTAGTCCTCATGATGTGACAGATGTTTGTGTATAGTAATTATTTTTGCAGTTGCTCAGCAGGAGGTGTGTATGTATGATTATATATAGCAGTCTTAGAATTGTTTTTCACTTTTTTAGAATGTGCAGGTTCCAGTCTGCCCACTGTGTTCTGCTCCAGTCCCCATAAAACGAGGAGAGATGCCAGACGTAGCAGTTGGGCGACACATTGACCGGAATTGCAACTTTGATTCTTCAAATCGTAAAAAGAAGGTAAAAGCTATGACTGGATTATGCGTAAAATGCAGTTTAAACTGATTATTTGAATCATTATGGAATAGCTGGCAACCACAGACAGTTTCAGCCTCTTCTTAGCCTTGTCAGTCACATCTTTCCAATATGGCCCGTGAGAGGTACAAGAGTTGAAACCGAACATGCAGAAACTAACAGGGTTATTTACCAAGGTAATAATTGTTATAAATGCTAAGTGAAACTCTAAGCACCAAAACAGCTTTAGCTTAAGGAAGCACTTTGGTGTATATATTTTGTACCTGCAGTCTCTGTGCTTAGATCCCTGCCATATAGGAGTTAAATCACTTTATATTTATGCAGCCCTAGTCACACCCTCCTTGCTGTGACTTCCACAGCCTGCATGGAACAATGGTTTAATTTTCAGTCACATATGGCAGCACACTGCATGTACTTTAGAGGTTCTGAACTTTAATAATGCACAGTAGACTCCTGCAGGCTCTTAGCAGAACAGGAGATAATAAATTCTATATTAAACACACTGTGCAATCGAAAGTTTAAACTATGGATCTCTCTTAACAGGAAGTGTGTAGGGAGACTGTAGGTCACATGCAGGCGAGCTGTGACTAGGGCTGCATGAACAAGTGATTAAACTCCTAAATGGCTGAGAATGAAGAAGTGTGACTGCAAGGAGATGATCTATATACAAAAAACTAAATTAAGCCAAACGTGGTCTGGAGCGTAGTGTCCTTTTTAAAGGGAAAAAGTTGACAAACTGTTAAAGTTTGGTCTACAATGTGTTATTCACGTTAAATTCCCCACAATTCTCACTTCAGTAAATAACCTTTCTAATGCTTGAGACAGAGCAGCCAAATCCACATCATATAAAGTACGGAATGACCGGGCACACGGGAAATATATGGCTAGGAAAATGTATTTACACAATGATTATATACCATAACTCCAGACTTATTGTACCCAGTTGTTTCTTACTTGCCATGAATAAGAGAAACTCATGTATACAAAAGAATAAGAAGCAATATACAAAGAAAGGTCAAGTGCCTGCACTGCTTTATCAACCGCAGCAGCCTAAGCAAAAGGAAAAACAAAAACTACTTGTGCCAAGATCTCACCCTTAACTCAGAATGTTAAATCTAATTCCTTTTAATTGGGATTCAGGTTGCTGCAGTACTTTTAGGAAAGTTTTGGTTTATTGTAGAACATCATTTGCTTCTTACTCCTAGATATTTACCAACAAATGCTTGAAACCTGGGTGCAAGAAGAAAGAACTCATGAAGATTGAATGCGACCTGTGTCACAACAACTTCTGCCTTTCTCACAGACATCCTCTGGACCATGATTGCAAAGCCAACAGCCGACCACTGTCCAAATCTGGGTAATACATATTTATCAGTTCTCACTCTACTTTATGATGGACAAGTGCCTGGGATTTACTAATATGTATGGAGTTCTTGTGCTAGGAACTGTTTACTATTTTAGCCCTTTGCCTGACAAAGGTGTGTGTGTATGAGACTAGTACATCAAACCAGAGGGATGGGAAAGCTAGCAGCTTCCCTAGGCAAGGTTGCAAACTTAAATAATAAAGGAGCCTCCAATAGGTAAGCATTTTGGGGTATATGCGGAAATTTCTAATCGGTAATTGCAAAGTGCTTATTGCCATCTCCTCATAAAGATACAAAGATTGCAGGATCACAAAAGGAAGCGCCTCTAGATGCTGTATGAGTTACAACCACTAGAAGTGTTTTAAGCCGTAGTGGTTCTGGTTCTTTGAGTGCCTGTTTAGCCTATTCTGGTAGAATATAGGTATTTGGTGTATACAAAAATGGTTCTTGGTTTGAATGAGACATAATGCCATAAATCTGAAATTTTACTCATTGTTTCTTTGTAGACATGCTGCCTTAAACCGATTCGTAAATGCTTCTCGGCAAGATAAACTCACAATCAACACAACAGAGAGTTACAAACAATGTAAAAGTGTGAAATTGCAACAGCAGAGGTAATTCATGGGTAATATGTACTTTCCATTTGTGTGTATGTAATGTTTTATTCTCTCTCTCTCCCCCCATCTTTTTAAACATTTATTCCCATTAATATATTTTATTTTTTTATTTTTTTTAGCTCAAATCTTCCAGCCAGTCAAGCATCCAATGTGTCAAATGTTGATATTCAAAATGGACTGGTAAGTGAAAAGTCTTTTTAATGTAACTTTATTTTTGAAACAAATGAATTTCACACATTTTAATTGTTTAAATTCTCATATACGCACATTTTAAATCCCCTTTCTCTGTCAAATGAGCGAGGTGATGTAACACGGCCAGTTACAGCTTTTATAATGGTATATGTGGACAGAAAGTGTTCTGGGCAAATGTTGTATTTCTTAAACTGTGTACTTTGTCTTTAAGAGAATTTGCAAACTGACAAGGTGTTAGAAATGGAACATATTGTTTTTCATAACTGTTTAAACAATAACCTCAGTGCATAATATGTTTGCGCCATTTTTTCGTAGACGAATTACAATAATGCATAAACAAGTTTCAAGGCTATGCTACAACTCTTTCAGTACACAATCTACTGTGGTAACCTTAGTAGATATTCAGACTTTAAGATGCCATCTTGAACTAAGTCAGGAAAATTTCCATGACGTATACATCCTTTAGTTAAGGCCATAACTAAAGTAAAAGCAGTGTTACTTTTTCATATATGAATTACAGTGATCCTAAAATGGAGACACGTAAGGTATAAATAGGTGTAATTTTAAATGTTAAGAAACAGAGGAGAGACTTGGAGACAGACGCTGCTCCATCTTAAAATGACAGAGAGGCTGACATGATATGTTCAGGAGGGTATGTTTACCTATTAATGATATTTGCAAGCATTTAGATTAATCGTATAAACTCTGTTATAATGGATTTTATGTCTATATTTTTATATAATATCTAAAAAGACAAAACTATTGCTTCCAAGACAATCCTTATTTTATATTGTATTCTCAATTATTTATATATGTTAAATAGAGGATCTCTTACACTATATAAAATTATGGCTAAGATATCTGTATGGTTAGCCCTACTAAGTTCAATGCTTTAAGACATTATAGTGGTAAATAAGGGAACCAGCCGCGGTTAAAAAAGAAACTGACCTTGTAGAGTGGGAAAAATAGAGATCAAATAGTGGGGTAGCTCCCCCTACAGTTAATATAAAATAACACAAATACGGTGCAAATACACAAATCTCAAGTGGTATAATTAAGCTCCCACATTAGGTTCAAAAGTATAGTGTAACAGGAAGAATTGATAAAAATCCTAAAAGAACCAGGAGATGGCTAGTGGGAAAAAATAGAAAAACAAAGGTAATTATTGATAGCTGTATTCAATAGTGTATAGTATAACTCTTGAAACAAGTAATAATAGAAACATATAAGTATTAAATAGCAGACCCACAATAGATAGTCAGGAAAAGTGCTACCACTAACTGGAAAAAAGGGGCATATAAACGAAGTGGTGAGTAGAGTGAAACAAAAAATGTAATGAGTACAGTCCTGGGACCGAAGTAAAAGGAGGCTGTGGGAATATTACATATTATATCTGGATAAACACTTATGTTATAAGGAAACATTTCCTTATAACATAGGTGTTTATCCAGATAAGGAAACGTTTCCTTATAACGTGGGTGTTTATCCAGATAGCTGTTACATAATTGCTAAGAGACATTTGACAGACTGCTCTTATTCTGAACTATATTATTTGGTATTTAATCATACTTTTATATCTCATCATTCCATTATCTTGAATATATTTGGATGTAATATTCCCACAGCCTCCTTTTTCTTCAGTCCCAGGACTGTACTCATTACATTTTTTGTTTCACTCTACTCACCACTTCTTTTAAATACCCCCTTTTTTACAGTTAGTGGTAGTACTTTTCCTGACTATCTATTGTGGGTCTGCTATTATTACTTGTTATATGAGTTCTACTATACACTATTGAATACAGCTATCAATATTTACCTCTTTTTGCATTTTTCACTAGCCGTATCTTGGTACGTTTAGGATTTTTATCAATTCTTCCTGTTACATAGTTTTTGTGACTGCTTGACATAAATTGTGTGTGGCACAATCCATCAAATTACATACTTGCCTTGCATTACAATCACTACAACAGCATGGTAAGAACACGTAAAATACATTATAGTGATATTTACTGTTGCTGATTAATATTTTCTTTCTTTATCCCTTTGTGTTGCATAAAGGTGACATCTGTGCGTTGTTTTACATGCTACTCTAGCTTGGGAAAAAAAGAATCCAGCCATTGGGTTAAACCTCATAAAACACTTGTTTTTATGCTGTTGTTCCAAAATGAGGCGGGGAAACAAACTTTTAAGTGATTTAAAATGAACATAAAAAAATCCTTGATTCCATAATGGCAATCTTTGTCCTTGGGTCAACAACCTGCTTTACATTAAACTTGCCTGTCTGCTTTGCTCGATTTTGGTTAATTAATTACAAATGGACAGAGAGGAAAAAAAATTGAGTTTATGTCCAAAATTGAAACATGAGTTCATATACTTACCCCTACTAACTGCATAAAAATCAGGGCTATGTGACCGTTTTCAGATATCCTATGTAATCTATAAATAATGGATTTGGTTAAAAATCTAATTTTAATTGCATTTACCATCAAAGATCATTGCATTTTACATGCTTTTAAACCATATATCATTTATTTTATTTAGAGTGAAGATGATGCTCTTCAGAAGGCCTTGCAGCTGTCTTTACTGGATGCTGGGATGCGTGATGTCCTCACTCTAAGGTATGAATCCACTGCAGATATATTTTAAATTAAGGCGTTAGTAGTACTAAAGAGGGACTTGGATATGGGTGACTGTGGAAGAGCTTTTTTTGGGGGTGGGGAAGGGGAACTGTATCCATAGACTACTCAAAACACCATTCCCCAAACAATGAGTTGCAATGGTTATGGTGACTTTGAGCATTCCTAAAAGAATAGATACTGCTCTGGGACTTCTAGCACCATAACAACTAGAGCGGGCTATAATAGTTATGGTGCTGAGAGTGTTTCTTTAACTTATGAGCCTGCTGATCCTGCAACGTCTGTTGTAATATTTTTGGTGAAACTTAGGTGTAGTTTTTGCCATCTCAAAGCTTTGCCAAGTTTTACCCATAGCTGATAATAGGGCAAAATTTGAAGCTGGGCTCCAGAGAATATGAGAAAGTGGTACTATTCAGAAAGGGTAGTACATTTTAAAAGATCTTCTTTTTATTTTTTTGTACTTAGTCACTTGTCTTCATAATGCTCCCTGTGATGGGTTGTTAGAAACCTTATAAGATGCGCGAAGGTCCATTTTCCTGAGCACCTCATGGGTAGCATATATCACGACTTATGACTCATCCTGTAGATATCTAGAATTGACCTTCCATTGAAGTGGTAAAGGATTACTAAGTAGTAAAGGGATAATTAAATTCTAATTTATTTTAAAAAATTTAAACCAGCTTACTTTGCTTCCCTGATTAATAAACCATTTTGGAATGGCCCTTACAGCCATCAGAATCTACTCTGATAATACAATATTGCAAATTTAAAAACCAGTTTTGAATGTTTAGTAAATTTCTGCCTTACTGATCATTTGGATAGAAGTACAGTATATTTTTATTTTCTTAATATATTTTGTATTAAAATTTATAGCAGTCCTGAGGAAGATAATAATGAACTAACTCAAGCCTTAAAAGCCAGCCTGGAAGAGTACAGAAATTGTCGAATGAAGAGTGTGAAAGCCACTGGAAAATGAATTGTGATTCAAATCTGCATTAAGGGATCTATTCAGCAAAATAGTGAGATGTGATATTGGACTGCAACTCCTATTTCTCAGCCAGCTGGTTTCTCCATCTGCACTGTCCACACAATATGCTATACAGTGAATGCTTATTTTTCTATGCTTAAAGTAAAGTTTACTCTATTTTTGCTAACATTTTTGGATTCTTCTGAATGAGGTAGACTTTTAATTTAATTATTTTATTTACTCTGGTTGTTTCTAGTGGACCATATTAACTGCTATTAACATTTAAATTTTGTGTATTCTTAATCTTGAATGGACGTGTTCAATCCAACCTGTAAATATTTAAAATGTGGATTAAGCGTTTAGGGATTGAATAAAGTACCCTATTTTTATTAAATTTTGTATTCATCTCTTCCGTTTTATGTTCTAATCAAAACATGGAAGTACAAGAGGACAATTGATTTTATTTTACTGTCAGTTACATTTATCCTTAAAGGAGCACTATAGGGTCAGGAACACAAACATGTATTCCTGACCCTATAGTATTAAAACCACTATCTAGCCCCCTTTTCCATATATGGAAGGCGTGGCCTGAAGTTGTGGGAGGGGCTTGGTTCCCCTTCTTAAGGAGCATCAACCCTTCCCTCATTACCTGTTGGGTCTGGCGAATTGTGGGTCACTTCCGGTTCTCCTGGCGCCATTCTGCTTACCTGTATCTCCGTGGGTAGCTTCCTGGGTCCCAACGAGTGCTGTCTCATCCGGTTTCGCCCGTCTGGCTTATTTTCCTGGCCGGGCAATTCGCTGCGCAAAATCGTAAGTTATACGGCCGTCGCAATTTCGGCGCGGCCGTTTTACGTCGTCCTAATACTACGGTCGCACACGTGTAAACTCTTCGGTAAATATTCACACGAATGCCGGCGTTCGGTTTTACTGCTTGTATACGCATATAGCATGTTACATATTATTTCGTATGGGGCAATTCGTTACATTCATATTATGCCCGTTCGTTTGCCGAAAGCTGTTTCACTTTTTTATGTTACAACTTGTTGTATGCCCTAGGGCGACCTCTGGTGGCTGGTTCATTGTCACTGATTTCTCTCTCAAGTACATTCCACGACCCCTGGTGGTTATAAAAGTTATGGCATTTGGCACAATTAGCTTATAAATTCAGTTATGATTATAAGATATCTTATGCTGGTTAAAGTTTTGTTGGGCAATTCGTTAAATATGTTTATTAATAAATTGAACAATGCATTTACACTCGGTCACCTTATGATCATTTCGTTTGCCGAATCTCTAGTCTATTATATGGTATAATTATGATAGGCACTAAGGAGACCTCTGGTGCTCGGTTTCAGTACTATTTAGTTGCTTGCACTACCCTGCTGATCAGAAGGGTTATAATCACGACATCAATTGTTTGTAGGATTACAGCATCAGTAGTCCAATGTTGTGTGCACCATATGAGTATTAATATACGGACATTTTGTCATACTTAACGGTCAATTGATTAGGGACCTCTTGTATTCAGTGTTCTACACCAAGTCCACTGGGTTCTGCTACCCCACCAACTGTTTCACTCTACATAGGTCAGTTCATATATTTAAATATACCTTAATGGGTCACGCAGACCAGATTCCTCAAAGGTATTTTCTGTATTACTAGGTATAAGCATCCTTGCACTTTGGAGTATTCAGGTTCCAGTCACCTAAACTGTTGGAATATTATTTATAGGTATCTGATCAGCAGGGGGTCAAGGGCTACATATTTTAACCCTTACAAACTCATATTACTCTCGTAGGTTACTACAGCTCACCTGGGTCACGTGTCCTACTTTCTGCAAATTTCACTACTAGTGAAGTACTACTGGTAGGTATCAGATTAGCTGGGGATTTAGGGGCACAATTTCGTTTTATTTTACCCATACAAACGTCAATTACTCTTGTAGATTACGACAGATTTCCTGTACACTTCTTCTCATACTATCTGGCAACTTACTCAGCAGGTACGTCACGTTTCGACTACTTCTCCCTCCCTACCTACCCTTTAGGATTTATACAGATACTGGCATACTAAAAATAGGACCCACTAGGTATGTTTTTCTGGCCTTCTACGCCTTACGTTAGTGGTCCCGCAAGGCCAACACCCATCCTCAATTCGGAGGTACGGCATCCCCTCGGGCCCATTCATAGCTAGCCGCCTCGCTTAGTTGCATAGAGAGGGCCTCACTTGTCACTCCCATTCTGTCTTATGCCTTTACAAGTCACAGAGAGGCCACCACCCCGCCATAATGCCAATGGCCACGTACCCCACACGCGCCAAATCATAGATAGTGCCTCTCAAAGCCGCTTAGCCACTAGTAGGGCCTCACCTGTCACGTCGCTTAGTAATTCTTCGCCGCTTGGCATTAGTTACAATAGCCAGTTGGGTAGCCCCAGATAACATACTATTTTATGTTGTAGCATGTCACAAGTTCCTGAAGAAAGGGAAGATGTGTCCATCGCCAGTACACCGGCTAGATCGGTCACTCCATCGCGGGGTGACGACAACGCAAGCCCTGCATCACTCAGGGCGTGGACTGTTCCAAGAATTACGGCTGAATTAAGGAAGAGAAATATTCCGTTCCCTGCTACAGCTAGGAAAGCTGAGTTGTACAGACTATTAAATACCCAGACTGATAACTCTGGGGCAGGGGAAGGATCCAGCGGGAACCATTCCTCAGATCTGCAGTCAGTTTTGTTGTCAGTCCTGACCTCTT